CCCAACTCGCCGAGTTCATGCACCAACACCCTACAATAGCAAATTCCAACCAATACTCGAAACAGGTGTTACAGCACCCTTGGGTTTTGTTTCAGCAAGCAACTCTCCCTATCCCTCTTGTGCACGTTTATAGACTATTGTAAGTCCTCAAGATCCAATCTTTATGTTATTTGTCTCTAGATCTAGCCATTTTTGTCCCTTAATCTTCATGGTGTGAGAAATTGGAAGGTTTGATCTCATAAACTTGGCAACTTTATGGATCCATATGGTCATTTTAGTGTCATATGTTCCAGATCTGAGGATCTATTGAGTTTCTGGTCCCATACTCAAGCTTGAGTTCCTTATTGCCATGTTTTGTTTTCTCTTAAAATGGAAGAGACATGCATCGGACATGTATGTCTATAAAGCTACGATTTTTATGGTTTATTAGGTGTAGGAAACCATTCTGGAAACTCTGGGTGAGCAACTCTAGAGATTGGGTGCTTAATGAGTGTTTTTATGCATTTAGTCACCTTTAAGGAGTTATGGTTTAGGATCTTGACTTATTGAGGTGTCTTAATGGTTAAAGTTGGAAATTTTATCCATCAAGACCATGGGAAGGACCAAATCTGAGCTTTGGAGCTCTTGGGGTTGCAGGTAAATGACTTAATGGATTAAGTTGTCCAGACCAGTCCCCATGATGTGCTCTTAGGTTGCCATGATGTGGTGACTGGGTAGGATCATGCCTGCTTTATCGTTTCGCGGCCAAGGTGTGACTAAGGATGGCCACGGCGTGACGACCAACTGGAGGTTGATCTTTGACTTTTGACTGTTGACCGTAGACTTTGACCAAGTTTAACTTTAGGTCATTTGGGTATTTTGAGTAGTAGGTTGAGGCTTGGTCCTTGTTTGTTGTACATGTGGCCCGTAGAGCCAGTGTTTGGAGCAGTGATCAGTTCACCCTAACGTTCAGATTCTAAGGTGAGTTTTCTTCAATGTACTCGTGGGTCGAAGGCACCAATGTCGACCCACTAGGTTATGTATCCTGGTATATAGGATGATGTTATGTTGGTTATATGTTAGACTGGTAGATATGTATGATTACATGTATGCATTGGTGGTATGTTAGACTGGTAGATCTATATGATTACCTGTACTTGCTGGCTATTGTTTATAGTTGTATATGTCGACATGTTATTGTGTTGTGGGGGTTGAGGCAGTCTTGGTTTGTGCTGAAGGCCAAGATACCTGGGTGGTACAGTTGATACTGTAGGCCTAAGGGAGCGGTTAGCTTATGATGTAGGCTTAGGAGCAGTCCAGCTAGTAATTGAAGACTCGGTGGCGATCCACCTTAGTGCTACAGGCCTGGTTGCATACCACAAAAAAGTCAAAAAAGTCGTAAATATTTAGAAAGAGTAAATTAGTCTATTTTTGCAATTTTGTCTTTTTCTTAAACACATATTAAAACCCATGTTTTGAAAACCGGACCGGACCGGCCGGTTCGACCGGTTCAACCGGGAACCGGTCCCGGATCCGGTTCTTAAAGGCCAAAAAACCAGTATTAGTGTGAACCGGTGAAAACCGGTCAAAACCGGAAATTTTCAAAAATTTTTATTTTTTTCATTTTTTGTATTTTTTTATATAATTAAATATAATTATGACATCGTCCGGTTTTTCCGGTTTTTGAGACCGGTCCGACCGGTTGGACCACTTGAAACATCGAACCAATAAGACGACCCGTTCGGTCTCCGGTCCGGTTTTCAAAACCTTGATTAAAACTTTTAAATATCATTTAAATTTAATTTTTAGTTTTCATCATAAATATTTAGAAAGAGTAAATTAGTCTATTTGGTTTAGGGTAAATCCATAAATTGCATGTTTAATTCGTATCTTTTTCTTTCATTCGAAAGATCCTGCATTTTAGGTCTCTTATGACCTTTGTCCCATATCGAATATCGAATTAAAATAATCATTTTGCACATAGATTTAATATTAAATATAACTCCTAGTCCCATCTTTTCAGTTTTTAGGTTGTGCAAAAATTTGCAACTACTATCCAATTTACATCCTTATCAGTCTTAATGAAATACATGTCTAACACAAACACAGTATCATCTATTACATCAAAAAAAAAAAAAAAAAAAAAGCATTCAACCCAAGTATGATATAAGTCAAAGGTAACAAATAACGGTAAATCTAATGTTTTAAATTAACGGTGGTTCTTTATTGAACTCTTAAAGCAACAACCAAAGGGCCTACGTTACAAGTACACAAGAAACACTCCCAATAAAAGGAAAAAAAAAAAAAAAAAACCGAGACTTGAACACACAAATTATTAGCTCCGAACCACCATAAATATCAACCATCCGAGATTAACTTTTTTTTATACCAACTTATGAATGGTTTTCATGTCAATTGCTTCATTGAGCGTCCCCTTTTGGACATGATCCCACCATTTGAACAAGAAGTTGTCCACCACTAGCCTAAACCAAGGGGACAATTTCAAACCCTCTTCACCCGCATCCGCCTTCCTTAGTAACTCTTTTAACTCTTCTTGGTTCACGTATCTAATATCCGCCACCTCATCAGGGTTTGGGTTCACGGCAACGTCACGCACGAGGAAGAGTAGGTAATCAACTGCCAAAAGTACGACATACTGTCAATGACAGGACAAGACATAACAATCAATGACAAACTGTCATTTCTCAACAACAAACTGTCGTTATTTCTCAACGACAGGACAAGACGATGTCATTTGTCAACTGACAGGACAAGACGATGTCATTTGTCAACGACAAGACAAGACAACTGTCAATGACAGGACAAGACAACTGTCAATGACAGGACAAGACAAGACAGACTGTCATTTCAGATAGGACAAGACAAGACAGACTGTCATTGACAAGACAAGACAAGACATAATAGAAAATGACAGACTTGTACTGTGTTTGACATGCATTTGGATTGGTATCGATGTGAATGGGACAAAAATTGCAATTTTTTTGTTCTAAAAAAAAAACGGGTTGAGGATCGCTAGAGATCTCTCTGTCTGTGCAAAAGACATGTATGCTCTTTTTTGGTGTTTTGTAAAAGAGAAATAAATATCCTCCTACATTTTGTTCTTACTTTTCCTCCTGCCCATTTTAAATGACACGTGTATTAAAAAATATTATTAATTTCATTAAATGTGATACATGTCAATATTTAACATGGGTGGCAGGATGAGTACGAACAAAATGTAGGAGAATATTTAATTTCCCTTTGTAAAAAAGAATAACTTGTTTCACATTTTTTTTCTTTTAGAAAATTTTTTTGACTGGATAATTTTTTTAATAAAAAAAGGAAAAATAAATTTATAAAAAAAAAAAGGTTACCTTCATGTTCACCCCATTTTCCATCAGATGGAGCCTTGTACAACATGCGACCTAAAGTTGTGAACTCATCAACTGGAACATCTTCAGCAGGGATACCGAGTTCATCTAGAAGCTTCCTCTGTGCAGCATTTCTGACCCCAAGGGCATTTTCGGGAATTAACTCTGATTCTCTGTATAGTGGATGGCTACAACAGGTGTTGGTCCATACCAAAGGAAATGTCACCTTGGTTTCTGACCTTTGCTGCAAATATATATATATATATATATATATATATATATATATATATATATATATAGATATCACATATTTAAAAAAACAGAAATTAAAATTAATTTTTTAAATTGTTTGAAAATTAATCTACCTGAAGGAGTAATTCGTATTTTGAATTGAATAAAAATACACTGAATGCTCTGTGAAGCAAATTATCTTTCTCAATCTTCTCCATTAAGTGACCTAAAAGTTCAAGAAATTATGACAATGTTCATGTCATGTCATTAATAACAATAAAAATAATAACAGCTATACTTCATATTGTTCTTAATTCAAGTTGATTTTGAATATTTAGTTGTCTTGGGAACAATATTGATAAATCTTTAGTTGAGAGAAGAAGAGAATATCAGAATACATGATATATAAAGTATATTAATTTCTTAAAAGTATATATATAATAATAATGAAACCAATTTAAAATATTCTGCTTACAATTGTATTTGGTATCATGCCCAAGAACAATGTCATTTTCATCAACCAAAATGCATCTGCAGAAATTTAAGATGTCAAAAACTGTCACTATATGTCATACTCTTACTCAATGAAGTCCATATGTGTGAAAAAGTGAAATTTATTAATTCCAATAACCATTAAGTAAATAATCATATTAATATGTTATTTAAAAGATTGAGATACTACTTTATCATCAGAATAGCAACACAGTTTCAAAATATATTGGACATATGTGTATAAAATAATAAAATTTACTGGTGATGATGAATTTAACAACACCTTTCCAAAAACAAGCGTTTGAATAGAAAAAGTTTGATAATTACAATTTACACATAATCAAAAAGAGTTCAATAGTGTTGTTGGGTTCAACTAAATGGACAGTGAATGAAAAACTACAAAATAGGATAAAAATGTTACCACTTTTGGAGAATGGAGACAAAACCCCAAAACCTAAGCCCTAAAGGTTCGTTTTAATGTATCAGAAATGGAAGACAAGATGTTAATTTAGGTTTCGAAATATCGAAATCCACAAAGATAGTGTATAAATAGAAATATGCCTCCAGTAAGGCTCTTCTAAACACACCTACATCTGAAAATAGTTGAAAAAAGATCAAAACAATTAATTTTCCACGATTCAGTTTTCCTCGTGCTTTAAGATATTAGGTTACCACTTAAATCGAGTTATTAGTTATTAATCTTCATTAGATAGTTGATGAAACAAAAGAACTATATAGAGTCATGATTAGTCGTAGCAGAAGACCAGAAATAAATCGCTAAATCAAAACGGTTGAATATCTAATCGTTAATACGAAACTAGGTAAAACTTACTCATCATCAAACATGAGACGTCTCTGGACGGCGTCCATGCCGGAATCGTCACCCATGGCGGCGGTTATGGTGGTGAAAGAGCGCCGGCGGAGAGTAAGACCGGCGAAGGTGGAGATTTGAGCAGTTAATGGAAGAGATTTTGAAGCGAATTGAAAGGAGGAAGACCAATGCAAAGGGAGTGAGGTATCGATGGTTTTAAAGGGGGAAAATTTTAACATTTTCTGCGATTTGGGCTCACACTCTTTGATAAGTTTAGAACATCAACAAATCCATATGTCTAATTTTATATAAATGTTACACTCACAACCCTTGACTATGGATTAATATTAATTTAGTCCCTGTCATAAATGGGGCTTGTTTCTTGTAAGGAAGTTTTTCAAGAGAAATTGTATTAAGATGTCAAATTTTAGATGGGTGTGAAAGTGTATTAAGATATAATTGCACATGTAATAATCAACTTGCATGATCATCATTTGTAAATAACTGTGCATTACTAGCACTCCTCATTGATCATCAATCATGTGTAGTCTTCTAGTCATTCATTTTTGATCAATCATGTGTAGTCTTCTAGTCATTCATTTTTGTTCAAAAAAATACATATTGACAAATCTTCTTTCACCGTGTTATTCTAGTTTTGAATAAGTATCCGATATGAAATAAAAGGATGCATGATTATAAATATTATTTTCTAAATTTATTGAGATGAGATCTATTAGTAACAATAAACAAATATAATATGGACAAAGTAGATACTTAATTAGGCCTAATTGGGTTTGCTAGCTAGTATAGTTTGTAATAACTTCTATATATTAATTTTTAAATCTTGTATTTTTAAATTACTTAAGGGTGTGTTAAAAATAATCGTTTGTTTTGGATATGTATGCAAAGTTTATAGATATTTTTTTAGCAAATACTTCTACACTCTCAAACAACAGTCAAATTGATGAAGGGGGTTATTTTCAAACGTATCAGTTAAATAAATTCTTCACAAAATTTCATTGGAGTGCCATGTTATATAATAAAAGTAACCAATAGGGCCATATGTGATAATTTTTTTAAAATGAGGGGCATCAGATTAATATAGGCCATACTATGAGGACCTTGTATTTCTAGCATAGTCAAAATGTCAAGGATGGGGGGTTCTCCTTTTAATATAGTAATAATGTGTATGTACCCTTAGTTTGACTCATCCAACAATATACCATATCGGAAACTTTAGTGTCTAAACAATAAAACTAATAGGAAAAGGGTGTTATGGATAAAAAGCATCTAATGATCTCCAATAAAGTGAATATAACTTGATGTATTTTCATTTAAATATAAAAACTTCTCATGTCGATAATTCTTACCAAGAAAAGATAAAATTTGAAGGAATAGTAGCATTTATAAGAAATGTTAAAAACTATCAACAACGATGCCTTGGTAAAATAAATTCGACCTTTTTTTTAATGTTGATAGTTTTTATATTATTCAAAAGGACTAAATACAAACATAGTAACATATTTTCATTGGTTTTTGTATTATATTATTCTATTTTTATTTTTATTTTATTATATTAGTTTTATTTTTTTATTTTTATTAATATATGATATTTTGGAAATCTATTCAATTATATCCTTATATTACAGGTTTTTTAGGTATGATATTATACTTTTAAAACAGTATACAAGTGATATTTGTTTTATATGTAGACGACATTATAGAAAATGAATTATTATGGAGAAAGAAAATAGATAACTTTTTTTTTTTCTAAAATAGCTAATAAAATGGAAAATGTCTAAAATATCTATAATTTTCGCAGGATGTTACCGGTGAAAATCAATGATGGCCTACGAATTATTTTTTTAACCAAACAGGCATGCTTTCGCATATGTTGAATTCGAAAAAACTTACATTTAACTGTGAAAATCTCATTGGGCTTTAAAAATATCACAAGCCTGGTTCAGTTTCAAACATATACTGTATAAACCAATTTTTTTCTTTTCCTCATTTTAACACAACTTTTCCGCAAGTGTACACAAATTCTTTCTAACTGGAAACAACTAGGATCTACTCGGATATGTTAGTTATTTATCAAAATTTACGTATTTTTGCACCACAACTTTCAGAGATTTGGTGGACGTACCTCTTGTGAAAGGGGACCTATTGCTCGTACATTGGTTGATGTTGCACGAGGTTAGATCGGACGTTCAACTAATATTTGAGTAGTTACGATTTTTAATTGGTGATCGATTTATTTATTTCGGTCGAGAGGAATTCTATATGATTATCGGGTTTAATTTTGCCAGTTGGTATCCGAATGTAACGAAAGATATCAAATTTGTTGCTTCATTATTTCGGAGACATTTTTTCTAGAACGAGTCAGACAGTTCGTTGTCCGTTACACACTTGCATTTTGTTATATTTACCGAACAGTTTTACTATATTTGTGACGAGGATGCAGTGACAACATGTCTTTTATACATTCTTAAGAACATGTTCTATACGGAAAGAGAAAAATGAAAAAGATAATAAATGGTTGGTTCTCATTACGAGAGGGCTGGAAAAAATGGAATATATATGAAATTTAGCAAGTGATTACCAACCTAGCTGTTTGTGATGCATCATGGGTTATATGCCTTAGTGGGTGAGGTCAGGAGTTCGACTCTTGGCTGAGTACATGTGGGGGATTTTGCCTGGATTGGTGCGGGTTTGATTCTTCGTTCCCTCTGGTGGTGAGTGGTGCCCTTCTTGGTGGCCCGCCAGGCATTCCTGATCCATCGGGTCGGGTTACCCTCTATCTATTTGCCGGTTATATATATA